AAAAATATGTACACATAAAAATATATACACATGTATATGTATCAATTTTACTATAGAATAATAATTATGTAGTAAAAATGTTATACACAAACAAAGTGTTTTTTGTTGATATACCACATTTTGAAAACAAAGCATTTATGTTTAAAACAAAAGTTGTTAGGTTTTTACAACAACGTAGCAAAAGATATATATCATATTATATATTATTTATAAGATACAATACACACACACATACAATGTATGCAACTTGCTAGTAAATAGTAAATAACATTATTGTAATAGTAAATAACATTAAATGACATCTCTAACGTATATAAGACATAATAAAAACCATTGATATTTTGCTACTTAAGATGCAATACAATATTATCGTACTATTTCAATATTATACATAAATGTAATATATTGATTTTATTATTGTAATATTGTATTGTACAATATAATATCTAATATTACTACTATATTGCAATTTTACTGTGATATTTCCGTAATATTACGTGCTATGTGGGGTCTTACATATAATACATAAATGTATGCTCAAAAACAAAGTTTTAACAACCGTTTTATTTAAATAAAGTCATTATGACGTCTTACTCACTTATTTCAACTGACGTCATTCCAAAGACCAATAGTTACATCATATATGACGTATACGTATGACGTACATACTGACATCATTGTTATGACGTTCAAAATAACGTCAGATTTAGGTCATAATCACTAATTAGTGACAAAAATCACGTATATTTACGTCATTACAACGTCAGATGGTTGCTTGGGGACGATTAAATAATATGAGAATTGAGATTAAGATTCAAATAATGTTGTTATATTTATATATGTGCGTGTTTCTTTGTGTGATATATCTGTATAAAACGATGATTATCTTAACGATTACAGAACCTATTTCAATTTATTTTCACGGATCACTAGCGCAACAAGTATATAGATCTTTTAAACTAATAAATAGATCTTATCGACGCTTACCGTCAAGATATTATATCGATCTTCATTTCTCTAATAAAAATATTGGTAGAGAAATATTTTAATCAAGTATCAAGATTAATCGATTTAATTCCAACAAAACTAATCAAGTTGCGTTTCAAAGAGAAGACATAACACAACGAGTGAGATTTTCTCTCTCTCTCTCTCTCTCTCTCTCATCGCGATAAAATCTGAACATCTTTCTAAAGTGATAAACAAAAGAGTAATCTTTTTAATCCACATGCTTGTTCAGCATACGTCTGCAATTGTGTGAAATTTTTCCAAGAAAACTTTAAACGACTAGAAGAGCACAAAATTACAAATTGGTTCTTAAAACTGATTTTATACAATTTCGAGATGCGCACAACAAATGCACAGACACATTGTTGCATAGCAGAAGGGAAAACATTCTGTTTTTTACAGATCTCGGAGACATTTGTCGGCAACCAATTTGATATCGGTGATCCGCGATTGAGCGGGATTGTAAACGTCGCTCAGACACTTGTTGGCCTGCAGAAAGACTCTGGATGACGCGGACCTGGCGGTGTTCTCGGCGGATTTGGCATCGCTTTCCAAGCTCCTCACCGCGACGTTTGTTTTCGCCAGCTCGAGAGTGATGCAGTTTTGCATTTTGAGAATGTCGTTGTTGTAGCAGCTCGGGAAAATGTTGTTTAATTTCCCTAGCAACTGGTTTCCAGTCTGCGCGGAAAAAGGGAAATACAACCATGTAAGAATTGTGCAATTGATTTAGTTTATTTTTAACAATACGCGCGCGTGAAATATATTACTTACCGAGATGAGTCTATCGGTAAAACTAATTTCGCTCTTGATGGAATTTTGCGCGATGTCAACGCATCGCGCGTCGTCGCTTGTAACCGTATTCCTGAGATCTCTGAGACTGTTCAACGCGTTGTCGTAGCAAGGCTGAGCGTTTTTGCCTTTCGCGTTAGCATCTTTTACTTTCTTCTGATAAACGAACAAATTCACAATGTAGGAAGTGAATAAGATTGCGCGTTACGTGATTTAACATACATGCATACGTATTTAATTAAATTGTATATTAAACTTAATTGTATATTAAACTAATCAATTAAATGCGATTTAAAATTTGCTGAAATAAATCTCCGATAAAAAAGTGTGAATCGAACGCATACGATTGTAGATCAAGCCGAACAATTTTATATACTCACTGATATCTCAGCGAGTATCCGATTGTTGTAGTCGTTGTATGCCATCATGTATTCGATTTTCTTATTTTTGACTTTGAAAACGGTATCTTGCTCGGTGTTTTTGCGAAGACGCTCGAGTTGTCGCACGGCATTCTGCACGCTGGTCTTCGATCTTTCAACTTGAGCTTTCAGAATATTCAAATTATTCGCGTCGACCTAAAGATATCGAAGGTGAGATATGATTGTTTTTATTATAGAAGCGATACTTTCGCAAACGAGTGCTTCTCTCTCTCCCTCTTTCTGTCAAATAATAATTAATAAAATGACTTACGGTACAAAGTACAGCCAAAAGGCACAAGGCTACGACGGTTCTCATGCTTGTTCGCGACGACGTAGCTCGAGTTGCAACGGTATATTATCACTGACCGACAACCGGGTGTTGTAGCATCTTTTTATACAGTATCGCGCCGTTTACTGCGAGTGTGTTTACCTGATTTATCTCGACCAGATACGGGAAATCCGGTGACGTGTGAAATTTATGACATCTACCAGCATGTGAAAAAAGTTCTCGTGTGTAAATCCCCGCAAATTGACACGAGGAAATTTCAGAATAGAGCGCGACAAAGTGTATCGAGTCTCGCAACGATGGCTGCGTTCCAAGTTACGCATATGCGCGCATTTATCTATACTATACGTGACGTGTACTATAGATAAATGCGCGCATATGCGTAACTCGGAACGCAGCCGATGAGTTCGTTTCAGAGCGAAATCAATTTTTTCGGTTTTACATTTTGCAATGCTATCTACGATCTTTTTATTGTCATTACGTTTATAAAATAAATCTGTTGATCGCGCTCGTTGTGATTATATCGAAAGCGATAAGAAAATAGTAACGTGACGTGACTTGTTTTTTATATGAACTTTAATTTTTATTTCGAAACTGAAAAATTCGTGTTATCGAAATGGCCGATATAAATATTTGCACGTCAACAATCTTATCGTCTTGTGCAGATTTTTGTTTGTATTTTTTATTTTAAGCAGCTCTTCATATCAATTGCAAGAAAATTGCAATTAAAAATTTTCGAGTGACATAAGTAGATATAAAAGAGAGCGTTTTATCGAAGAATGCGTGGCGCAGCGTTAGCGCGCTAGACTAGTAGTAGCGGTAAGAACGCT